AGAAAAAAATGATAATGTATCTGGCGCAGTAAGTGGACCAGATACATTCACACTTTTTTGGCCGGGAGCAACACAGAGAGAGAGAGAGAGAGAGAGAGAGAGAGAGAGAGAGAGAGAGAGAGAGAGAGAGAGAGGGAGAGAGGGTGGTAGTGGCCACAGCTGGGGCGCTCGAGTGAGAGAGCTCGAGAGAGGGAGAGAGATTGGAGTGAAACAGAAGATTAGGATTGCCGGAAAAAAAAAAAGTGCGAATGTATCTGACACATGCATTGGCACTTTTTGTGCAGCTGAGCAACACAGAGAGGCACACACAGAGAGAGAGAGAGAGAGAGAGAGAGAGAGAGAGAGAGAGAGAGAGAGAGAGAGAGAGAGAGAGAGAGTGGCAGCGTGACTAGGGGGGTAGTGGCCGCAGCAGGGGCGCGCGCGAGAGAGAGAGAGATTGGAGCGAAACAGAAGATTAGGATTGCCAAAAAAAAGTAGAAAGTGCGAATGTATCTGACGCATTGAATGGACCAGATACATTCCCACTTTTGTGCAGCCGAGCAACAGAGAGAGAGAGAGAGAGAGAGAGAGAGAGAGAGAGAAGAGGGCAAGTGGGGGAGGAAGAGGGGGAGATGGCCACTGCATTGGAATTCGAACGGCCATTGGGCCCCAGGCCACCACCTTCCTCCCTTTTTTAACACGGGACCAAGGCCCAACACCGGACCAGGGCCCAAGTGCAGACCCTGGGCCACGGGCCACGTCGAAAACTAAACTGCAGTTTGAAACTCGGCGGCACAGACTTTTCTGCAATGCCAAGTTTCAAGTGCAGTTCGAACTGACGGCGTGACTGGACTGCAGAAACAGTGTGCCGACTGCATTTTCAAACTGTTTTTGTGACTGCCGCGTAGTTACCCCAAAGAAAAAAAAAAAAAAAAAAACGCGGAAAAAAAAAATGTGTTGATCTGAGGGATGTGTTGCTTTGTGGCAATTGGATTATCTGTGGGATGTGTGATTTGCTTTGTTTGACTGATAGGCTTTCTTTCCCTGTTAGGTTTGGTTTCCTCATTTTCTTGACCTCTTTGTCTTTTGGCTGCGTGCAGATGGGTCCTTGTGACACACGGGGATGGGGGCAGCCAGCGCTCAACCTGTCATCCACGTGGCTGGCCTTGTACGTAAGAGGTGATGAACAGGTGGGGCTTTCCTTCTTTTGTGACTTGCTTGCAACATGCACACTTGAGAACCGATGGCAAAACCCAACTCTTCCAACCCAGAAACAACTGTTACAATGAACTTGTATTAAACTCAGTTCAGAACAACTGTACAACTTGCGGCTATGGCCGCTGAACACTGTCTCTGCCATCAGCCTCACTCTCCCTCACTCTTGCATGCACGCAAGTACGCGGATCACCCTGAATGTCCACACTACACAGCCACACATACACTATAAGCCCCGTCTACACCAACAGCTGGGCGGCTATGGCCGCCGTCGTCTTCCTCCTCCTAGCTATGGCCGTTGGTGTCTCCCTCGCTGGTTCACTATGGTCGATGTCAAGACAGCACTTCCGCATGGCACACAGGCGAATGAATGAATGGTTGGACGCTGGCTGTTTATTTATACTTCTTTGAAGGTAGCTGGGCCCTGCCCCAAACCGCGTGGACCTGGGCCTAGAAGCTTCCAAACACGTGGGCCTTCTTGGCCAAAACGCTTGGAACTCTTCCACAGGCTCCAGAATCTTCCCCACGTGCAGCCCTTCCCAGGTACCTGCTGACTGGGCTGGACTACAGGGTCCTACGGACTTCTAGAACCTACAGACCGACAGACAGATTCTAGGACCTCAGTAGACTTAGGTAAAGACTTCTAGAACAGACACTTTAGACCTACTGGTAACAGACTCAACGGACAGACACTTCAGACCTAGGGATCAAGTCCTACACAGATCGTTGGGCCTATGTACAGGGTACAGGATAGGTCTAGGGATCAAATCTCACTTAGCACACAGGGTCAATATACAGGGTACAGAGTAGGTATAGGGATCGAATCCGACTCAGTGCACAGGGTCAATGTACAGGGTTAGGGCACAGGTCAAGGGATCGAATCTCTTTGTCTGCAATGTCGGGTCAACTGGGTGAAACTGTTTCAGATCTGTAGATGGATGCTTATGTTGACGGTTGACCCCCCTATCTCCCAAATATCTCATTCACATTCGGGGGTCCAGNTTTCAGATCTGTAGATGGATGCTTATGTTGACGGTTGACCCCCCTATCTCCCAAATATCTCATTCACATTCGGGGGTCCAGGCTGTCCAGCAAGTTTGCCAAATCCCCCTCTGCCTTAAAAAAAACAAAAAAACAAACAAATCAATTAATCAATCAATCAAGCCAGCAAGCCATAAATGAATCAATTGGTTGATTGATTGATTGATTGATTGATTGGTGCTTCCCACTAAAACAATGTGCTTTGCATTGGGAAAAAAAAAGAAAAAAAAAAACACAACAATTTTTTTCAAAAATAAATAAATTCTCTTTCATTGTTTTACCGCAATCTAATGACTGTGTGTGTGTGTGTGTGCCTCTGTCTGTGTCTGCTGTGAATTTTCACCACAACATCCACTGTGCAAGGATTGAGCCCTCGTAAGGCCCTTTGGGGCACACACACGTTCTGGGCTCAATGCCCCAGCAAGCCTCATGCCTGGCCTAAGTGAAGCCGGGCCTGCATATGTGGCTTATTTTTGCCACTTTTGTATGTGGGGTATCAGACAGTTGCAGCACCCCAGTTGGTTACAGAGCAACATGAGCCTTCCCTGGCTCCTTCCAGAAGCAAAAGTTGCACCGTACAGTTGAGCCCAGGGAATCGGTTGAGGCACCGAGCATACGCATTCAGAGGCCGAAATGTCACGTAGCGGTCGTGGACCAATGAGAAAGCAGCTCCTGCGTCACAAACATGTCATGAGCCAATGAGATCGCGCTGAACACTTGGAGCCTCGTGGGCTTGGGCTACCTGGACGTGCCTAACTGCATGGCACCCAGGCCAGTATCTGAAGCTGGGCCTGTTCGCAGATACTTTGGGCCAACCTGAAGCTATTGGGCTTATACACACCAGTCCCAGACCAGCCAGCAACAGAGCTCACTTTCCATAAAGGAAAGTGAGCGGCCAGAGGCGCAATATTATGGCTTGAGTGGGCAATGCGGCCACGCTGCTGCATACCGCACGAAGCAGCTGCGCTACCACTGCGGGCCAGACACGCGCACGGGCGCAGAGGTGAGAAAGGGGGCGTTGCTGTGGCAGCGGGTGCATGGCGGCCATAGCCGGACTGCTGGGTGCAGGCACGGTGATAGCGATGATGGTCTTCAGGCAGAAGGTGCATGCAGTGGAGAGTCAGGGGTGTTGAGGGGAGGTGCGAGACACATACTTGGTGTATGCTGGCAGTCTGCATTGGCGAATGACATCACGCACATTGGACTTCAACTTCGATGTGTTCCTGTTCGATGAACGTAGATATGATATATAGGCTGAGTAGTGTAGGCTGGAAGCTAGGCGCCAGACAGTAGGAGCGACATTGGAAACTATGTTGGTGAGACCGGAGAGCGTCGGCATTGGCATTTGTGTTCGCTGTATTGCTCTTATTTGGATGGTATCTTGGTGCATTGTGTTGTCTGCTTGGTACATGACTATCTGGACTTCTTCGTGATTTTGCAATTTGGATTTCTGTGTATCGCTCTTGCTCACATTCCTTGGAACTGTCCCGCCCAGGTGAGTACATCCAAAATCTCAACAACAGTACGTCTATTGCAGATAATGAAACATGATTGAGATGAGTCAATCCACCAATGAAAGAGTGTTGCCTCTATAATCAGCAACATGAAACACAATAGACCCAGTATTTCCGTGTTAAAAAAAAAGAAAAAAACAGAATTTATTTTCCCCCACCAAAAAAAAACTTCCATTGTTTTAAGTTTTAGCCCAATCTAATGACTGTGTGTGTGTGTGTGTGTGTGTGTGTGTGTGTGTGTGTGTGAGAGAGAGAGAGAGAGAGAGAGAGAGAGAGAGAGAGAGAGAGAGAGA